TGCAGTTTTTCCTTTCTTCTTGGAAACCTTTTTGAGTTGGGATGAAGTAGAAGAAGACATTTTTGAAGGATGTTGAAAGCTTAGGGTTTTTTGGCGAGATAAGGAGGGTAAAAGATTCAGAGAATGTAGAAAGAAAAGAAAAAGACTAAGTGGATGATGTTTTATAATGTGTAAGTTTAAGCATCCACTGAATGAGGGTGTGATACGTGGAAATCATGGGTTGGTGTGATGAAGAGGTGGCGTAAAGTTAACATGGGTAATAGGCGTGATTTAAAGATAATGATTGTTTGTAACTGCACCATACTGTGAAGTGGCTCCAGGCGGTTAAGGAATCCAAAAAGTGCTATGATTGACGTGACTGGAGTCAAATGCATTAAATGTTACGATGATTCGAAGGTCACATCAAAATCTTGTGTAGATGTTTAAAATAGGTATTTCTCAGAGAGATCGAAATACATATTTTAAAGGGGAAATTTGTTGGCTGAAGATTTTGATAATATTATTAGAAGCCAAGTGAATTGAACGTTTCGATCGAAATGAAACAAAAGCGTTATGTTTCGAAGTAGCAGAAGCAGTGTTTCGAATAAGCATATCAAAAGCTTGGAGCTTCGAAAGGCAATTATGGGAACATATCTAAAGAAGTCTCGAAATAACAACAAGGCTGTGTCTGAGAAGTGCGTTCGAAACAGAGAAGTACCAAATCATTTGAAATTCAAATGGAAGCGGGACATTCGAAGTTTGAAATTTATGTGCTGGAGCATTTGGAGACACGTGGAAAGAAGAGAGAGGCGTTGTTCTGCATGTTCTGAACGTGGCGTAATCCTATAGCAAGACCGTTATGGTCGAATTAGTATAAATAGAAGTCTTAGTATTAGGATTTCGTGTGTCATATCTATTGTACTAAATACTCAGTAACATTCAAACTACCACATGGAAAGGGAAACGAATGCAAGAGCAATGTACGTATGATAGCACCACATATTTATGATTTAATGAAAACCTTTTATCATTTCCAGCACTTTCCTTCATCTTTCTGCCAAATAACATTTACAAGTTTTCTCATTCAAAGTCTTTCTATTTCGAAGTCTCTTCATTAAAGCTTTACATTTCAATGCTTTCTTTACATTTCAATGCTTTCTTTACATTTCAAGCACTTTACATTTCAGAAAACTGTCATACTTCCCATGCATTTATCTTCAAGCTTTATCCTTCGAACGCCTATTTTTACTTAAAGTCACTTACAGATTTCTTGAATTAAACGCTTTCTTCATGTTTTAAATCTTTTACGTTCCAGAACATCCTTTACATTAACTGTTTTTATAATTCGAAGCCATTTACTTCCCTTTTATGCAAGTTTACATGTCTTTACAATTAACATTTATTCATGCAACTTAGTTTCGTACACGCACATTTTGATTACACCTTTAGACCTTTAAGAAAGAAATCGAAATAAGCCAAACACCTATAAAACATTCAAATACCAACCATGAATATCTGTTCGATCATGAGAGTAACCCTAATGTCCAAGGAATCCTAGGATCAATCTAGTCGATCCTGTGAGTTACCAGAGGAATTGAATAACAGTCAGTAAGTTTATTCGATAGTTTGGAAGACTAGCGGTTGTTTACCAGAAATCACTGGAAACAGGTGGCGATTTTTATTTTGATCTGTATAAGTCTAGTAAATCCAATGGCTTAGTCTTAAACATTTCTACCGCTACACTATCCTGCCCCAGGTTTATGATTAAAGGTTTCAATTTGTGTGAAAAAGGAAACTCTTACTTGTTTGGCTCAAAGGGGTTGACTAGGGGTTATCTTCCTTATAACTCCAATGTTTAGGTTTTGAAAGAAACGCCTGTACATCATCAACAAGATCTGCCTAAAAGTATACTGTATGAGATTATGGCATTGTTTTCGTCATCCTCCCACTAAAGGCTTGCAACTTTTTAAACAAGAGTTTAATATCATAAAGGGAGTAAAAAGCATAGTTTAAATAGAGTGGATTAATTCAAGACAAACATATTTAATTCAGTAATTAGAATAACCAAAGTCTGACATAAAGATAAGTGTTTAAGCAAATAAAGAAATTACAACTGAAAATTCGAATAAACAAAAAATTCCTCCGCCTAGACCGTCACTTCATATGGATGCCTTTGAGGGGTGATATAAGATCTCCAGTTGACCGTCTTGTGTAAACTCCAACACTCCTTCGTCGATTAGGTCTCAAATCTTGTTTTTCAACATCCAACAATGGTTAGTGTCATGTCCAGGTGTGTTGGAGTGGTACGCACACCTTTCTCCATGATTGTAACGGGGATAAGAAGTATTAGGATTCCGAGGAGGATTCTTCAATGTGACCAAATTCATCTTCAACATGTGTTGCAAGACTTGCGACATCGGTATGTCGAGTTTGGTATACTGCCTATTGGATGCATTCCGTTTACGCTGATTACCCTATCCTTGTTGGCGAAGTTATTGTTGGGCTTGTGATGTAGCCGCAATTTGGAAAAGTCTACTCTCCACCAAGCCAACTTCTTGTCTCATCAGAGGCTGATTAAAGACTTGATCCCCAGCCTCGACTGTTTGTTTCATACGGTCGCATCCGTCTTGATGAAGTTTATTGACGAGGGCTCTCAACTCTTCTTGTCCTTGATCCATGTTTTGGATAAGAGTCATCTGGCCCACCACCTCTCAACTCTTCATTGTCCAGGAGGCTACTGCTTTGTGACTCCAAGAAAGCATACAAGAGGCCATTTCTCAAACAAAGTTTTGCATGAAGAGCTAATGCCCAATCGAAAGCTGCGTGTAGGAGGTCACTGCTTTGTGACTTCCAAATGCAAACATGTAAGGCCAATGGTGCAATCGAAGCTTGCACGCAGGAGGCCGAAATTCCCAAACGAGTGTTGCATGCAGGAGGTCCCTGCTTTGAATCAAAGGAAGCCTTCAGAAGGCAATTTTCTTCTGAATCGAAAGAGACTAGTAGGAAGCCATTAACTTTTGAATCGAAGGACACCAACATGAAGCCATTGTCTTCTAAATCGAAGGAAGTTGTTTCAAAGGGAAACAAGGCCCAATCGAAGCTTGTGGATTAAGCCTGCTCGAAGGAAGTTAAAGGCTCAATCGAAACCTCTGGATTAAAGCAAACTGTTTTTCTTCAATTTTGTCAAAAAAATCAAATTTATCTGCTTTGCTCTTTCAATTAAAAAAACAATTATACTTGTGCAATCTTGAACTTGTGAAAAAATGTCTTGAGAAATGAGAGGGAAAATTTTGGGGTACAGCAGTATGGTCTTCTTTGATTCGACACGTTTCCTTCATTTTGATTTCCTCTACCATTCGATTTGTTGTAGCAGCCTCTACCTTTGTCGAACCATTTCCCTTTGCCTTTGGTTTCTTTTACTGAATGTGCCTGCAAAGCCACATCACTCTTCGATTTGCCTGCAGCTCTTTCAGTCATTCTTTGTTCATGAGATTCAAGCATCCCTTGAAGCTCTTCCTTTGTCAATTTCGACAAGTCTTTCCCCTCTTCTATAGCCACCACCATGGGGTTGAACTTAGGAGCCAAAGATCTCAAGATCTTCGAAACAACAGCTCTTGTTGTTAATATTTCTCCACATACCTTGATTTGATTCACTAGTTTTGTAACCCTAGTGAAGAAATCAGATATGCTCTCATTATCTTCCATCTGAAGCAATTCATACGTTCTCTTGTGAGTTTGTAACCTCACTTCTTTCACCTTTTCTGCACCATCAAAAGACTTCTCAAGTACATCCCAAGCTTCTTTTGTAGATTCTGAATCACTCACTTTTTCAAAATTTTCTGGACTCACACATTGATGAATTATAAATAATGCTTTATAACTCAGCTTCTCAATTTCTTTGTGTTTCTTCTTTTCTTCTTCTGAAGCATTTTCTCCAAGCGCTTCGAATCCATCTTTTACAAGATCCCAAAGACCTTGACACCTGAACAAAACTTTCATCTGTTTGCACCAATTCTCATAGTTGTCTACTTTCATAATTGGTAGAGTTGCTGGATAATTTGCTTCCCATAACTCGCCATCGTGAATTCTTCAATCGTTCTTGATTAACACTTCCCTTGAATCGATTAATCGAGCTCTGATACCAGATGTTGGAAATCTACCAAATATCTATGACGAATTTCTACCAATCTTGATGAACAAGATTGATATCACCACACAATGACAATGAATTATGAGAAAAGAAAAGAAAAGAAAAGAAAGAAGACAATTATTTTCTGCACAGTTTCTCTTTGTCCACAAACTGTGGAAAACTTTATTAATCACTTGCAACTGCAAATTATGTGATTACAATGAATTGACTTGATTGCAAAAATAAGGATTACTCCCTTTGTTTATTTATAGATTTAGGTTAGCTTGCTACTAAACCAAAAACTAAAACTATAAAAACACAAAATACTTATTTTGGTACTAAATCAAATCTATTCTATTTTAAACTTAAAACAAATCTATTTAAATTTAAAACAAATCAAATTTGTGTGTAGCTTGCTTCGATCCACAAACTCTTCGATTTTGGAAAACCTCCCTTCGACACACACTCTGTTTCGAAACTCCCTTGTCTCTATCGAACAAGCTGCTTCGACACAAAGAATTACATTTAATAATTATTAAAACTAATAATGAAATATATTAAATAAATAAACCACAATAGTAATGCAAACGGTAGTAATGCCGCTTTATATAGTTTCTGCAATTCAGCTTAACAACCACAATAGCGACAACTACAACAATACATCCCTTTTCATGCAATGGACTATTGTGACATCAAATATCATTTTGAAGGAATAGAACAAATGTTTACATTTTTCAACCAAAAAAAGAAGATTGTTTACAGAATTTCAAACCTTTCACATTTTCAATCAAAGTTTACTCGAAATAAACAGAATATTTCAACTAAATGCTGGTGAACAGTTACTATAACAAGTGGAGAATCACAAGAAATAAAGCATCATCATAAAAGAAAGTCATGAGGAGTTACAACCATATGTGTCACGATGAAGTTTCACCAAATCTTGTACTACTTTCCAGTCCGCACCTTTCACTGGAATTGGACAATTGTTGCCTTTCCTCTCAAGTTCTTGAGCAATAGCAATCAATGTACGAAATCTAGAAGGCCTAGCTTGTATTACATCCGACACTGGAGCCAAAAACATGAAAAACTGAGGGCAAATGTGAGATTGAACAGATTCACATGCCTTGGTGAAAGCCTCTACCTGTCGTGCAATCCTAGGGTGAAGAAGAATAAGGGATTTAGGCTTAACTAAACTCTCTTTGATAACTTTGAAATGACGCATTTCTGACCAAGCTAACACATTACACAAATAATGACACACACCACTAATTTTTCGATCTTTTTGAGCTGTACTATTACTTTTCTTCAAGATAAATCTAATCGCGTCTTGACGTAATCTTGAAGAATAACCAAGATCTCTCCTAATTTCAATTGCTTTCTCGAAATCAAATGGAATATCCAAATCAGCATCATACCCAAGAATCTGTTTCAGTTCACTGATAGAGTTATTCATAAAATACTTAAAATTTACCTCATCTGTCAACTTCTTCAAAAGCATAATAATACAACACCCGAAGATGATTAGAATTAAAGGCCAAACCAATCCATCAGCAACGTCCTTGTCAGCTGGTAACCACACCACAGTTGGTATTACACCTATTCCGTGCAATGCTTCTTCGACAGAGCTTCTGAATCCATCGTGCACGTCGCATAACATAGAAGCAACGTTAGTGCATAACTCCTTCTCGTCATTTGACTCCTTTGCCGCTGCGTATGCTTCATAAAAAGCCATACCTCTAGTTCTGATGTTTGATGTAAAAAACCTATTAACACTAGTAGGTTTTATGTGAGAATTGGAGCTTACAGGTGGAATCGACATCAGCCAGTCTTCTTTTGTGGGATATCTTGCTCTTAATTCACCCATTGTAATGCTCAGACGTTCGAGAATGGTTTCAGGGTTCTTCATTTTAGGTCTTGACAACTACGAGTTCTTTTCTTGATGTATACTAGTAGACGAAACAAGAAGAAGAAAGTGTGGAAGGTGAAAACGTCTCTGGCCAAGACTTGTGGAACCTTTATTATAAAAGAGGGTATTTATATAGATTATGACCTCTATATGTACGGTGAATGAGGTGACATGTGTTCGGAGGGTCATTTTTCCCAATAAACATCACCAAAGCAGCCCGTTTGAAATTCTTTGGGATTGAAGTGTCTCAAACTTTGAAAGAGAAGGATTTAGGGTCTTAAATCTCGACCATTTCTTGGTGTATTCGTCTAGTTGCATTGCAATGTTTGATTTTGATGGCGCATTTCATCCATAAGGGACTGCATCTCCACTAGGCTTTCACAATCACCGCAGCTAAAGGAAATGCTTGTGGCCACCATTGTTAGTTGATGATTGGTTGAACAAAACCCTTGCTGAAAAGTGTGCGACTTGGGAATGTTTTACTCTACCTCATAGTGGATGCCATTCTTACTTGTTATGGGTTAAATAGTAGTAAGACCTGTCAAATAATGGGTCTCTAGTCACAATAGATGAGTGAATTGTACAGGGTTGAAAATCGTTAATTTAATAAAAGTCATTTTCCAAACTAAAATTTGAAAATATTTTATAAAAAACATTTGAATGAGCATGTAGTAGAAATTCAAAGTAAAGAAATTAAATTAAAAATAAAAGAGATAAAGGAAAAGAGATGATATTGGAAAGTTATATAAGTTCAATCTAATGAAGCGACCTTGAAAGTATCCATTATATCTTGAGAATTATTAGAAGGTAAAACCCATAACCCCCTTATATAAGGAAATGAAGTTATCACGATAACTTCTAACTAAACAACGAACAAAGCTTGAAGTGGTTAGTCTATAAACCAAACAAGGAATAGGCTTGAAGTGGTTCGTCTTCAAATCGAACAGAGATTTTACACAGGCTGATCTCAAACCAAGATGAAATTTTGAGTTGTCTATCCTCCAAATGGAGTCGGAGTTTTATATAGGCCAACCATGAATATAATCGAGATTAATACCGGAACGATCTCAAGCCTACCGAGTTTTTACACCAACATGAACTTAGAAACTAAGGGAAATTTTACACAGACTGATCTCGAACCAATAGGGCTTTTAAATTGGCTGAGCTCAAGAGCCATTGTGGAGACTTTTACTATCTGATTTCCACGAACTAAAAGAGATATGTTGTGTTATATTTGGTAAAGCATTAGACTAGGGCGCCCTCACCCAATAGTTGGATTACCCATAAGAGATCCAAGGGAATCGCCTGAGAAGTTTCACCTACATGGGAGTCAAGCTAGAAAGAGTCATTGTTGATTCCGAAAAGATAGACGGTCAATAACCTCTCCCAGTAAGAGTTGAGCGATTAATACCACAACTAGGAGATAAAAAACCTAGGTTTTCGTTGCCTCTTTTAAATATGTTATCTCTCAAAACGATAAGGGGCAAACTCTAAGTCATACACACTATCTTCACTACCTAAAGATCACTACCCTCATAATCACCATAACATATTCAACCAAAGTAATTGCCCGCCTACAACCCAGTTGCACCAACCATTTACAGGAAATCTCACCTCACGTGAGTGGATCCCTTAAATAGCCTCAAAAATCATTGTACTAGACTACTCGTCTTCGTGAGAAAACCCTCATCATCCCAACGTGCAATATATCTATTAGGGCCTCTGAGTCTCCCTGCTCTTATAAGGGGAACACACACACACCTGTATTTTTGACCATACATTAGTGCCTAGTGTAACATCTCAGCTTTTTATCCAAGATATTACTTAAAATTTTGCTTATTAAAAATTTAAAGTGATTTTTTTGTTAGTTATTTATAAAATTAAATGGTTATAAAATTAACTAGAGAAAATAAACATAACTAAAATTGAACAAAAGTTTAAAAATTCGTTTAAAAATTCCTATAGAAATAAAATTCCATATTTGTATTTCTAAACGAGTTTTAAGTGCTAGAAATAATTGAAATAAAAACAATTTACATAATTGTTTATATATTATATAAGAATATATTTGCAAAAATCCTTTTTGACTTGGTACGCGCTTCAAGTAATACAATCAATTCAATTATGCTTTTCTCTTTGAGTATTTACCATGTTAAATTTAAATTTTTGATTCAATTATGTCTTGACAGGTAGCATCGAAGCTTGGCGTATCGGAGCCTTCCTCGCAAGAGGATTTGAGGAGTTTTTCTGTAAGTATATACTTTTGTCTTTGATTACATTAAGTACAACATTGCTTGCTGCATATTATCATTAATCAATGTTTCTTAAAATATTGCAGGAACCATTGTTCGCATCTGCAGATTATGATCCTTCTGTTGTGAATTCGGGGCTGACACCGTCGAAGAGAAGAATAATCGATGTAGCAGAAGATGTTGAAAGTGTTCAACTTTCCTCAACAAAGATGACAAAACCAATCAAGGAGGAAAAATTGATATAAAGATGGAACACAAACTGCTGTTTATTAAGCTTTAGTTTATCATGGAAACAACTTAATTTTATTATGCTAAGTATTAGTTTTGGTTTATTTTATGTTTTAAAACAATTGCATTGTTTCCTATTACTTTCGTTGTTTGGGTACAATAGAAACATGTTCATGTAAACATGCTTTCGCATAATTGTTTGAGCTTTGTGTCTTTCTTTTAATATATCATTCCTACTACCATTTAGTTTCATCCACATTAAATGTTTCTGAAATTTTGCAACATTTCCACCAATGCTGCACTTCCCGAGCCAGCACTGCTCGAAGCCTACGCCTATTAAAAAGTTTTCCATTTCTTGCCTTAGAAATGCTCCATATACAGGCAAACCATACCACTTCTATTCGATGCGAGTAGACTCTGGCTACCAGTCCAACAAACTGGTCCAAATGTCTTGCACTGTCGTTTTTTAAATATTCACCACACCAACAAAAATTAACACTCAGTGGCATACAATATTAAAAGTAGAAAATTTGAATGTTGGACAAAACCATTATCTCAGCTTGAAATTCAGGAAGTCCTTAACCTGATCCTGGCTCACTTCTTTTCACTGCCACATTCATTCCATTCCTGAGAAACCCTTTATAAACAACTCCAAAACCACCCTTTCCAATTATCCACTTCGCATCAAAATTAAAGATCAAGCAAGGAGATTTTAAATCCAAGATTTTAAAACCACCCTTTAATTCGAGTCTGTGTGAGGCTTTTAGTTGAATCATGTGTGAGGCTTAAGCTTAACATGTTCCACATAACCTCCACATCTTTGTAACCGCACATTTCCGCTTCATCTCGAAGATTCAACAACCCGCCAATGGCTCCGCCCATTTTATCTCGAAGATTCAACAACCCGCCAACTGACAAAATTGTAACCGCACATTTCTAATATCAGTTAAAATGATACGTTTAATTTGATTTTAGAGTGAGATACAATCAATATGGTATGGCTATATCAAAAAACGTTTCAATCCTATCAAATGCATGCTTGAGTAGTTACTATTCATGATGCACTTCATTTTCGGTTTCCAAAGTGAAACTATAATGATTTTTTCTGACCATTGCTTTTCTTTTCAATTCAAGATTAATTGGCAGAATGGTTAGAATCTGGAAAGTTACCTTTTCTTATTGGTACTTGATTGTCCATAATTATAACATTTTTAATTAAATTTTGAAATAACACTTAACAGTATTTAACGCTATTATTATTATTAATTATTATTATTAATAATTAAAATGGTTCACAAAAATAATCACTTGGTATTCTATTGACTTCAGTATTTTACTTCAAAATCTTGGAACCGTGAATGTTGTATTAACAATTATATTTATTATCATATAACCAAAAACTTTATTCATTTTATGTCTACAATCATTTTATGTGGTTAACAAAAAAAAATTGAATGACAACCATACAGTCAAAGTGATTTTCTACCCATTCATTTTTGCATCACCTAACCAACACTATGGAACCACAAGTTGCAGCAATGGCAAGACGTAAAAGGAAGCAGATTCTTAAAGATAAAAGATTGAAAAAAGGAAGAACTGATGAAAACACAATCAATCCCATTGAAAACTCTCAAAGGTATTATGTTCCAACCATGGTTAATATCAGAACACCACTATCTGATTTAACTTCATCAATCTTTAATGAAAGAAATATGAGTTCACCTTCACCAGCATCTGCATCAAGCAACTCAAGTACAATGAAGAGTTTCAATATTGTTTCTACAAATCAACTGGCTGCTTCAGCACGACAGCGGAGGAAAAGTATTATGGAAGGTAAGATGCCCCAATCTTACAAACTTCATAACAACCTTAGCAATAACAGTGGGGGTCCTTTCAGGATAAATTCTCCATCCTTTTCGCATTTCAAAACACCATTTTCTGATATAGCTTCCTCATGTTCTAACCAAAGAAACATAAAACCTCATGCACCGCCAAGTTGTTTTATTCAAAAATCAAAAAAACAGTTGACTGTTACACCTCGGTTTCCACGAATGTCTATGTCACCTTCTGATTCACCTTGGCCATTCAAGTTGATTAGGAGACAATTTCCGATTATTGTCTCCTATGCAATGACAATTAATAAGTCACAAGGTCAATCTCTTGATAGTGTTGGATTGTATTTGCCTACTCCTGTGTTTAGTCATGGTCAATTATATGTTGCAATTTCAAGAGTTAAGAGCAAAAGTGGGCTAAAAATCCTAATTCATGACAAGGAGAATGTACCGTGTTCTACTACTATTAATGTTGTGTACAAGGAAGTCTTTCAAGCACTTTGATAGTTGGTAAACTTTATATCTTATACTTTACGATTCAAATTAAAAATCTATTTTGAATTAAAATATATAGTATGTACATTTTCCATGTATTTCAAGAAGTATATAATTTTTCCTATTTGTTCATGCAGACGTGATTTGTTGATAGGACCGACGCTTGCTACAAATATGGAGTTAAATGCCAACA